AAAAAAGTATAACAATCTACAAATACAAATACATGTTCAGATATGTAAATTCATACCTGTAATTTTCATTTTTGTTTAATTATCAATTGCTTCTTGCAAAAGAGCCACTAATTCAACATGACTACTATTATTATCAAGTTCCAGATTATATTTTATCATTTCTTCTTTGATTTTACTAATAGACCACTGACTGGGATTAAAGGTTATGTTTATTTATAATATTTTATTAGTAAAAGGATCAATTTTTTTTTTACATTTGGGTAACTACTTACTATTGTTGCTTGGCATTGGAATTATCCATTTAGAATATGCATTAATCACAAATGGATGAAATTGCACACCTTCCAATGATGCTTTTAAATTGATTTCTTGTTCTAATACTAATGGGCCAGAATATTTGGTGTTTGTGGACAGATTCAATTGTTTATATAAAGAAGTAATTGCTTTGCTAGAAGAATCTTAAACATCACTAAACTCATTTGTAATACAAAAATATCATGCTTTATTATTTGTTAAACATTGTCAATTGACGATTTTTTACCATTTTTGCCCTGCCAATCCTACTAATTTTCACTGGTTTATTCACGGATCGTCAATTAATCAATTTCTATCATTGATCGGTGGACTACAAATTAAAACAGTTAATAATGCTTTATTCAGATACTGGATATTCAGTAACAATCAGAAATAATACAACAAAGTGCAGCAATTATATATTTTTTTTAACTAGAAAAATTGCATTTTGCAATAATAGTAAATTGCCTCACTAAAAGAAATTTTCTTCTAAAGCAATAATAGTCTATCTATTTCATCAATTATTTCATACCACCAATTTTATGACTTATAATTAGATGCCAAATCAACATTGAGAACATATTGTTTTACTTTATCCTTAATCCAGGGTGGTAGTCTCTTTGAATTTTCTCCTTTTCTGGTATGAAATGGTTGCTTTTTCATTCCATCAAAACATTCTGGTGGCATAACAAAATAAAATTGGATTTCTCTTTCCACATCGAGTCTATTTTTAAGGTCATTTAATCCCTTGACCTTTATACCATGATCCTTGGTTGATAGTCATCTGAAACAACATATTTGGTAAAACCAATGAATCCACTGAAGTGAAATTTTTTTGTTGTGGTTGATAATATTCATTATGTGTATTAATCTCATCTATTATTGGAAGATTTTATTTTCAAGTCTAGGGAATTTCTCCATTTTTATTTCATCATTTTCATATTTTAGACAACATGTTTCAAACACTCCACCAGTTCGCAAAATTCTATGTGCAACTGCCTCAAATATGTTTCCTTGCAAAGTTTCATACCCCATCTGATCTTTACTTGCTGATAAAAAACTATACAACTGGTCTCTTTTTTCCTCCTCATAACGATTTATAATCTTTTCACTTACATATGTTGATGCAAAGAGTACCAATTGCTGAGCATATGGTGGAAATGATGAAACATCAAGTTTTTTACACACATCCATAGTATTATCATCCACATTATCTGGTTGTTCATCAGAAACATTAGTGTAAATATGCACAACCTTATTGTTAACATCAAGTTTAGGATCAACCACATCTCCAACTATTTTTACTATCATATCAAGATCACAAATTCTGATTGCTTCTGTGCTTGCTTTTTGCAAAACAACTCGTGGAATACCTCCCCAGATTCCAAACAATTTTTTGGCTTTTTTATAATCAATTTTGGGACATAAAACTTTGGAAGTACATTTAGACTCCCTGCTGAATCATCATAAATATTTTTGGAGATACATGCAGATATTTCATCCCAAGTCCATACTGGCATAAAACATTTTTTTGTTCCAGCCCACTTCTGAAAGTTTCGATAGTTCTCTTTTTGTGGCGAAGTTGCAAGAATAGTTTTTAGCCTCACAGTTCCTTGGATGGTGTCCATAAACAAGATACCAAACATCTGATTTGTTTAATTCATTATGAAACAGATATAATGTCCCTTCATATACACACCCTGGACAAAAGTATCCGGACACCTGTTTTTACTAATTACACAAAAACGCGCATAATAACTACACAT